TATGATCTCTTCCTACTGAACTAGAGATGAAGTCTTAATTCAAAGGGATAATGTTTTAAGGATAGAAGTTGAAACAATCTCAAGTTTAACAGTGGAGATTGGTTGAGACTCAGAGGTGTATCTGTGGGGGATTTTTAGTGATAATTTTAAAATTTTATTGTTGACTTAAAAATGCACAATGTGAGAGTTGTAAATTAAGTTTTATTTGGGGCAAAATGAGGACTATCACCCAGGAGACAGATTTCGGATAGGTCTGAGAAACTACTTCTAGGAGGCAGAGGGCAAGGTCAGTATACATGTGATTTTGGTAAAGGGGGAATACATGCAATCAAGCCCATATTTTTTGCAGAAGATTTCTTCTAGTCCTGAGGAGTAGTCATCACCATGAAGGATTCTAGCACTTTTCTAGATACGAAGAGGTACAGGTACAAGAACTGGGTTCCTAAAACTGCCTCCTGAAAATATCTGACTATCTGAAGCTCTGTTCTGCCATTTCCCCCAGAGCACAGAGTGCCTCATTTCTGCTGTTCACCATGAACTCCTCTCAGAGGGTGTTGAAAGTCAGCAGCTGCAGCAGCATATGATTTAATCCTTGTAGAGATAGATGGCAAGTGCCAATGTGCAGTTGACACCACTTTTCATCTATCTCTGTGGACATTCCCTTTACAAGACCTTGTAGGCTTATAAACTACAGGTTTAGAGTTGGTGTTGCTGAAACCACATTGCTTATCTAATCATCTCATCAGGTTGGTTCTTAGTTTCCAAGTGGTGAGCAAGCCTCTTTAGGGTTTCCCTGGTGGTGCTAATGGTAAGGAAACTGCCTGTCAATGGGTTCGACCCTTGGGTCGGGAAGATCCCCTGGAGGAGGGTATGGCAATCCACTCCAGTATCCTTGCCTAGAGAACCCCGCAGACAGGGGAACCTGGTGGTCGACAATCCGCAGGGTTGCAAAGAGTCAGACACGACTGAAGTGACAGCACAGTGCACACTTGCACCTTAGCGAAGGGGCACAAGAGGAAAGTGACAATGGCCACTGCCAAATTTGTTGTGATTAATTCTCAATACTTTTTTCAGGGGGTACAGTCTCCAGAAAGATGAATATTGAAATTGAGGCAAAGATTAGCATGGTCCCTATGAATGAGATACATGAACATCTTTATTCTAATATTTATTACAATGTATATTATCATACATTTGTATTTTTAAGTCTTTAATAAATTTGCTAGAATACTGTTTCTGCTTTGTGTTTTAGTTTTTTAGCCAGAAGTCAAGTCAGATCTTAGCTCCCCAATCAGGGATTGAACTCACACCTCCCACCCTCTAGTTTGGAAGTTGAAGTCTTAACCACTTGACCAAGAGAATAAATTATCATACATTTGTGTGCCTATACTCACCTCATTTGTGGGCTCCCAGAGGGCCAAGATTCTGTTTCATGTTTTAACTCTCTTGTGCTTAGCATCAGATGGCAGTCAAAAAATACTTTTTTGACATTAAAAAATTTACCTTTTCATTTAAAGATAGTAAAGCAAATCTTCAAAAAATCAGAAACCATCATTACTTATCCAATGACTTAACGCAGCTCTTTTTGCATGTTGTTTTTAGTTCTTATTTATAACATTCATATTTCATGTGATTGGCACTTTTGGAGTTCATTCGCGCATTCATTCTTTCAAGAATAATTCTTTCAAGAATAATTGATAAAGCACCTATTTGTCAGACACCAACTAGACATTGGGGGCTTCCCTGGCGGCTCAGATGGTAAAGAGTCTGTCTGCAGCTCAGGAGACCTGGGTTCGATCCCTGGGTGGTGAAGATCCCTTGCAGAAGGAAATGGCAACCCACTCCTGTGTGGGGTCACAAAGAATTGGACATGACTGAGCGACTTTCACTTTCAGCCAGATAGTGGGAATAAAATAAGTAGGTAAAGTAAGTTTCTACCCTCCTAGAGCTTGTGACTAGTGGGGTACACAGATAGTTATCAAATAACCATAATAGGTGTAAAATTACCATTTTGATAAATGCTATACCGCTACAAATATATTGAAAGTTTTCTTTTTTTAAACCAATGAGGAAGTCAGAGACATTGAAGGAATATTGACTGAACTTAGATTTGAAGGCTGAGAAGCAGTTACATGGAGAAAAAGAGCATTTCAGGAAAAGACGTTATAATCAAAGACCCCATTTCATGAAGGTGAAAGAGAGCGTGAAGGCAGTGAAAACAAGGCCTCAGTCTGGATACTCACGTCTTTCTTCAGAGCAGGAAGGCACTACCAGTAAATCTCTGATTAATACTTCTTTCCCAGCCCCATTTCTTCCTCAGAAATAGATTCCTTAGCTTAGTGCTTTGCTTACCCTCTCAATCACTTACCTTTGCTTCACAAATTGCTTCTTTATCTTTTTATTCTACATTTTCACTGGTGTTTAAAATATCTACTCTTCTTTAGATTCTATTCCCACATAGGTCATTGCAGAATACTGAGAAGAGTTCCCTATACTGTACAATAGATTCTTTCATTAGTTACCTATTTTATATAAAGTAGGTGTGTATTTGTCAATCCCAGTCTTCTTTGTCAATCCCAGTCTTCCATCCCTCACCCTCCCATGCCCCTTCCCCCTTGCCAACCATAAGTTTGTTTTCTATGTCTATGACTCTATTTCTGTCTTATAAAAAGGTTCATTTGTACTTTTTTTTTTAGGATTCCACATATAAGTGGTATCATATAATATTTGTCTTTCTCTGTCCGATTTACTTCACTCAGTGTGATAATCTCTAGGTCCATCCATATTGCTGCAAATGGCATTATTTGTTTTTTTCTAAATGTATCTGAATCATGGATTTAGGTTTTGGGCCATTGACGTCTTTCAATTTTATCCAGTGTATGGTTTAAATAGAGTCTGGCATTATTTTGCTTCCTTGAAGACTTTTCTTATCATATTCTTATCCCCATTGAATATTTCCCCTAGGATCTGTATTTGTGTTTAATAAGTGCCATTGAATTAAAGATTAATATTTATTCTGGATTCTTGGATTCTGAAGTAGATCAAATAATCTGTTGTATATGTGTGAATGCTCCTTTCCTTCACTGTACATGTCACATATAAATATAAATTATCTTTTAATTTATGCAATTTTATAAAACTTTATAATTTAATCTTGTTAATGTTCTTCTTCCCCTTTAAAGTGTAAGCTCCATGAGGTAGTATCCTTCTTTGTTTATTTTACAGTTATATTTCATTTTACCTATCAGTTTCTTGACATTCAATAATTGTTGAAGAAATAAATATTCAAGATACTGCCTTTATTTTCATGCAATGTTTTAAAAAACAGCTCTGTAATTTTCTCTCTTTATTTTTTAATGAGACAAGATCCCATTAGACCAGTCATATAGTAACCTTGCCTGTGGGTGATTTTTCCAAATTTCTGCTTTTTTGATTAGTGAGTCTTTCTTAGGTCTAGTTTGACACCACATTAATATCTATAACTTCCAATGTAATTCTCAGATTCTAGCAAGTCTTTGGTATACTCAGGGATATTATCTCCTATCATATAGTTTGGTTTCTTGTGTCTCTTTATCAAGAGTTCTATGTAAACTTCAAAAAATAATTCTGTTGCTTTATTTTTGGTTGTGCTGGGTCTTCACTGCTACTAGGCTTCTCTCTCGTTACGGAGAGGAGGGCTGTTCTCTAGGTGCGGGGTGCAGGCTTCTCCTTGCCACGGCTTCGCTTGTTACGGAGCGTGGGTTCTCGGGTGCACAGGCTTCGGTAGCTGTGGCACGGGGGCTCAGAAGTTGCAGCTCCGGGGCTCTGGAGCACAGGCTCAGTAGTGGCGGTGCGGGGGCTTCCTTGCTCCACTGCGTATGAGATCTTCCTGAATCAGGGGTAGAACCTGTGGCTCCTGCTAATGCAGGGAAGCCCTGTGCGGATTTCTTTAAAAGGGAGGTCCAGGCTTGTACCACAAATGTTTAGAATCAGAATCTTGGGTGGGTGTATGATTGTGATTTCTTTAAAAACACGTTTCACAGGTGATTTTAATGACCTTTAATTTTTTTTCTTTTAGCCTATTGAGAGTAAAAACTGCAGTTTTTAGCTTTCATTATAAAAAGCTGTCATCACTAGCAAATGCAACTTTCAGTTATTGGTTCTCATTCACTCCACTTCTTGTCCAACTTGTGGAGGTGTGAAAGATGACTCTGTGTGCTAAACACAAGCACAAAGAGCCAGGCAATTTTGAGACAGTTGGTAAATGATTCAGCGCAGACTCCATTTCTTATAGAGAGCAGACAAAGTGAAGACACACCTTTAAATGGGCTTTGCTTTCTCAAGTTAATGTCAGTGTTTCTTAATCACTTCCATGGACCTGAAGAAAACTTAACACAGTCTGTAATACGCTCTCTGACAACAACAACTTGCAAATTTTCAATTAGCTCTATTTCTTCAGTAGTATTTTAATAAGAGATTGGAAGAATATGCATCAGGGGTTGTGTGATAGCCAAACACAATTTCAAATTATAAAATAATAAGGTCTGAGAAATATATGACTTAATTTATGAATGACAGATGTCATGATAGCATACGTCCTCCATTATAATAGACTTTAGGTTTGAATAACATGGTCCAAACTGGTTTATTTGTAAGGTATCAGGCTTTTCTCCATATTTAGACTACTAATTTCTCTCTTCCTTTTTCACCTATACCTATTTTCCAGTCACTAGTTTTATTGTACTACAATCATCTGAACAGATATTTTTCTTCTGTTACATATTAATTATAACTTTCACCTTAAATTTGCATAGAGCATGCATTCTAATCTTAACCACAAATGCATAGTCATATGTTAACAATGAGTACTCCCATTTTTTTTTTCCCCTTTGGTTTTGGCTCCATATAGTATAGAATGTGGGAACTGTCAGTGAAAAGACCAGGAACTACTCAAAAATAACATCCCACTCAATTAATACAATGTTATTTAAAAACACAGCAGCAGAAAAAGTTTTTCTCCCCTAAACATGTGTTTCATGGTCCACTTTGACATCATTAATTAATGGTCCTGAGTTTGCTTCATTCATGGCTTTTGTTTCATTTTCTGATGCCTTAATATCTTTCCCTTGGTATTTTTTCTTCATAGCAGAAATCAATACAATGAATAAAATAATGACTGGGAATTTTAAGCCTGTAGTCAAGCCAAAGAAAGTATGTCTGTGAAAAGAGAAAAAAGAATCCATGTATAAAACACTTTACATTGTTGCTCTCCAGTATGCAGAAGACCTTAAAAAATGATGCTTGAAATCTTATGTAGAAATACTGAAGTAGCGATTCCAATGACTCTTTTGATAGGAGCAGAAGAAACCTGTGATTATTTTTAAAGGAATGTTGACCCACAGAAGCCAAGGATGGTTCAAGATCTGCCCAAGTGCTATCCATAAAGTAAGGTGTGTTTGGAATGTTTAACTTTCTCAAAGACTGATTAGTTCATGTGTAATGAGAACAGATTATAAAGGAAATGAAGTGACTGTGAGATAATCAAATTGAATTCATTTAGATTGAACCAGGAGCCTATGTTTACCTTATAGGCTTATGGTCCACAAGATCCTTGTAGTCTACTGAAAATTTTTTACAACAACCACATAAAATTACCTAGTATGCATAATCTATTCCTGTGATTTTCAACTGGTCAAACATTAGAATCACCTGAGGGGATTTTAAAACCCTCATTCCCCAGGCCATACCCTGCACCCCCCCCCCGACCAATTAAATAAAAATTGCTGAAGATGGGACACATAAATTAGTATTTTGAGGGGATTCCCTGGTGGTCCAGTGGTTGGGACTCTGTACTTTCACTGTTGAGGGTGTGGGTTCAATCCCTGTTTGAGGAGCTAAGATCCTGGCAAGCTGTGTGGTGCGGCCAGGGGGGAAAAAAAAAAAAGAAATAAGCATTTTTAAAAGTTCCTCAGGTGATTGTAATGAGCAAGAAAAATTGATGACCACTGACCTGGTAGGTTAGGAAGCTCTTGTCTCATAATGTTGTTAACTAAATGTTGACATACTTTATGCAAAAGATACTTTGAACAGTTATTAGGTTTAAATGAAGGTGAATAGAATCAATTTTATAACTTTGGGCTATTTATAAAGTTTATTAAATGGTGGCTATAACTATTAATACTGTTACTACACTGAAAATGATATCTCATTCTTTAGGAATTAACAGAGTCAAAGGAAAAAAAATTAATGAAGTATATTTATGACAACTTACCCATATAACGAGGAATTATATATCCTGCAAGCCCCTTGCTTCCCATAGTTGTTGATGGACCACTTCATACAAGTTCTATCAATCAGAGCCCCAAAATATATAGGAGCTGGAATTCCTCCTGTAACATCAGATGAGAAGATGTCAATGGAGGAGAATGTTTCAAACGAAACAGTGACATTCCACATTGATACATTTTGGATTCTGTAAAGGTTGAAAATTTTGGAGGACTCATCCATTGATTTGGTTTAACTCTACTTAAGAATCAAGATTACTGGGACTTTCCTGGTGTTCCAGTGGTTAGGACTTCGCCTTGCAATGCAACGTGTGAGGGTTTGATCCCTAATCAGGGAGCTAAGATTTCACATGCATTGTGGTCAAAAACTAAAACATAAAGTAGGAGAGATATTGTAACAAATTCAATAAAGACTTACAAAAAAGCATAGTTATTTTTTTAAAAAAAGATTCAAAATTATTAGGAATCTCCAAAGCTCAAATCACATACAATAGCATCTTTCATCTACCTTTACCATGCCAACACACATAAGGAAAAAACGAGATTACATGTCTTTACATTGTTCTTCTTATAATGCTAATTAACTTAAGCCTGGTTGGCAAAAAGCAGAAAACTGTCAGTAAAACACAGAGGTTATGTTGGTCATATGTAATTTTTTTCTTAGGCAAGGGCAGCTGAAATAGAAGGAGTAGAGATATAACTTCACAGGGAAAGCAAAAAATTCTGCTCAAATGCAAAGACAGATGCTGCAAAGACAGAAGATTTTCAACTCAATTTTTAAGCAAAATTTAAGGTGAATGCCAGGTTTTACTGGTGGATCAGTGATAAAGAATGCACCTGCCAATGCAGGAGATGCAGTTTCAATCCCTGGGTCTAGAAGATCTCCTGGAGAAGGACATGGCAACCCACTCCCATATTCTTGCCTGGGAAATCCCATGGACAGAGAAGCCTGGCAGGCTATAGTCCATGGGATCACAAAAGGGTTGGATATGACTTTGCAACTAAACAGCAAACAACAACAAGGCTCCTGGTTGTGCTTGCCTCAGGGCTCCACTCTCATCATCTTGGAGTCATTAGAGCCCACAATCATGCATTTTCCCCTCTATTGATTGTGTTCATTTTTAATACCTCCTGAAGCAGCCTGGGCTGTCCAAATTACAGGCTCTGTTGCTGAATTTTGTTTCTGTTAATGTTCTGATCATCATGATGTCGAGGTCTTCAGTGGTCTGTTACCTAACTGAGTTTTCACTTGTAGTGTATGGTCTTGCAGTTTTCGAGGCTTTTCAGGAACACTTTTGTTGTTTTATAGCGAAATGCCCACTCCTCTTGTTGTTATTGTTTGGTCACTAAGTCATGTCTGACTCTTTTGCAACCCCATGGACTGTAGCCTGCCACGCTCCTCTGTCCATGGGATTTCCCAGGCAGGTGGGTTGCCATTTCCTTCTCCAGGGAATCTTTCCAACCCAGGGACTGAACATGTCTCCTGCTTGGCAGGCAGATTCTTTACCACTGAGCCACCTGTGAAGTCCATCTACCCTTACTGCTATTTTAATAAACTCTGAGATTGACTCCTAGATCTAAGCAGTGGTAATGTGACCAAAAGTTTAGAGATATGCCAAATTTCAACTTCTATATTGTTACATAAAAATGATAGTGATTCATAGTTTACACTTTTGGAAATTCCATTTACTTATGAAGTGAAGTGAAGTGAATGTCACTCAGTCGTGTCTGACTCTTTGTGACCCCATGGACTATAGAGTCCATGGAATTTTCCATGCCAGGATACTGGAGTGGGGAGTCTTTCCCTTCTCCAGGGGATCTTCCCAACTCAGTGTTCGAACCCAGATCACCTGCATTGCAGGCGGATTCTTTATCAACTGAGACACAAGGGAAGCACATTTACTTATAGTCAGTCTCAATTTGAGACTTAGAATGAGAAACCTCAGAATGTCAAGGAACTGGTGTCTGAGACAAAGATACCTGATGAAAATTGGTACTGAGAAACCAGGATTAGGAATTCTCAGGTTTTCAAAAATCAAAGCCATCCTTTGTAAAATGAAAAATCAGTTCAATTCAGTTGCTCAGTCATGTCTGATTCTTTGCGATCCTATAGACTGCTGCACACCAGTCCTCCCTGCCCATCACCAACTCCCAGAGTTTACTCAAACTAATGACCATTGAGTTGGTGATACCATCCAATCATCTCATCCTCTGTCGTCCCCTCCTCCTCCTGCCTTCAATCTTTCCCAGCATCAGGGTCTTTTCCAATGAGTCAATTCTTCTCATCAGGTGGCCAAAGTATTGGAATTTCAGCTTCAACATCAGTCCTTCCAATGAACACCCAGGACTGATCTCCTTTAGGATGGGCTGGTTGGATCTCCTTGCAGTCCAAGGGATTCTCAAGAGGCTTCTCCAACACCACATTTCAAAAGCATAATTTCTTCGGCACTCAGCTTTCTTTATAGTGCAACTCTCACATCCATATATGACTACTGGAAAAAACATAGCCTTGACTAGATGGAAGTTTGTTGACAAATTAATGTCTCTGCTTTTAAACATGCTGTCTAGGTTGGTCATAACTTTTCTTCCAAGGAGCAAGTGTCTTTTAATTTCATGGCTGCAGTCACCATCTGCAGTGATTTTGGAGCCTCTCAAAATAAAGTCTGTCACTGTTTCTACTGTTTCCTCATCTATTTGCCATGAAATGATGGGACCAGATGCCATGATCTTAGTTTTCTGAATGTTGAGTTTTAAGCCAACTTTTCCACTCTCCTCTTTGATTTTCATCAAGGGGCTCTTCACTTTCTGCCACTTTCTGCCATAAGGGTGGTGTCATCTGCATATCTGAGGTTATTGATATTTCTCCCTGCAGCCTTGATTTCAGCTTGTGCTTCATCTAGCCCAGCGTTTCTCATGATCTACTCTGCATAGAAGTTAAATAAGCAGGGTGACAGTGTACAGCCTTGACGTACTCCTTTCCCTATTTGGAACCAGTCTGTTGTTTCATGTCCAGTTCTAACAGTTGCTTCCTGACCTGCATACAGATTTCTCAAGAGGCAGGTCAGGTGGTTGGTATTACCATCTCTTTAAGAAAAATATATGCCAACAATTTATTTTTCCAACTTAAAGTCACAGAATCTTTCTGGGTCTGATGTACACCCTGGAGTTGTTTTGGAGATATCATAACTGCTCCAAAAGGGAAAAGCAGAATCTTCAGAGTTGGTTTTGGGACATGAGTCTGCCTTCTCTCCGGATTGCTGGCTTTTTTGATTAAAGCAGCTTTCCTTTCTATCAACACTTGCCTCTGGAGTTTTGACTGGAGTATTGACTTTTAAGCAGGCAGCAGCCAAACCTGAGTTCAATTAACACCCATTCCCTTTTGCATTTTACATTTCTAATGAAGGTTAGCAGCTTCTGCTTTGCAGAACTAGTCAGTGGGACTGTGAAAGTCTGCATTTGTTGTTTGGCACGATCTGTGGGCCTTTGGAGCTGTTTTGAACATTAAGCCCCTCAGTGTATAAGGACAGCCCTCCACTCTGCATATGGGAAGAAATATCCCTACATCTTGAGTTAAAAATCTTTGGAGACCACTGATTCTTGTTTTAGAAAGAATATAATACAAGTGCAATGATGCCTTATTCTTACAGATTGATTTTTACATAGAATTGACAATCAAATTTTCTTTTAGGTCAGTTAGTTCTCCTTTATCTCATTATTTTTCATTTACCACAAAGATACTAATAATTTTTACTTATACCTTTAAAAAACTTTCTTACAATTAGAAATCAATTACATTTAGTCTTTGACATGAAAAATTGTATCTGAAATTTAGCATCGACATATTTATCATACCTAGTGTTCGAATAGTTAGTGAATGGAAACCCATGGCAAGTGATTTCAGTTCAGGTTCAACATTTCTGAAATAAGATAAAGGTAAAGAAACATTAAACATCCTTACAATACCAAACTGAGTTAATATTAAAGCATTTTTCAGTATTATTCTTTATGACTGAATGAAAACCCTCAAGTGAAGCATTGACATTATTTAGTTATATTTTCAGTTGTTTTAGAAGGCAAACATCTGAATGACATTAATAGTTATTATTCCTTTACTTATTCAATGTGTTACAAGTTCAAGACAGTTTTACAAACATTTTCATGCTTTATCTTTAGGAAATCCTGAGATAATGGTTGAAATAGAATTATGATATCTATGAAGACAATAATTTCATGTAATCTATTTAGTTGACATAGGCCAAATGAGAAAGCAAATATGTTTATGTAGGTTTTTAGATCGAGTAGAATTCTTTTTTGTACCTTCTTTCTATCATTGCTGTTAACAGAAAAGTTAACTAATATGTTTCATAAACAACAAAATATAACCAGGAAGATCAAAAAAGTTATCTATATTCTAGTGTCTAGTGTATTTGAATGTCATTTGAAAGGTAGTAAGTACATATTTATCCTTTCTTAAAAATTAACTCAGTCTTGCCTTTAGAAAGTTCTTTCCACAATTTCATTTTTCTATGTTCAGTTAGCTAATGACATGACCATCTCTGATACAGTGAGGGACTAAGGCTCAAAAATTCTGTTTTTACTGAAATATTGATTTAACTGATACAAAGGCTTATTTTTTTTTGGTTTGAATGACTATATTTATTCAGAGATAAACTTTGTCATTCAACAAACCTTTGCCAAGTTCTCTTATGAGATTCTATGCTAGTCTTTGTTCTTGATAAGAAAGCGATAAATCATGTTTCATAGTAACTAGATGCCTTTGTTATTGTTTAGTCACTAAACAATGTGTCTGACACTTTGCAACTCCATTGACTGTAGCCCACCAGGCTTCTCTGACATGAGATTTCCCAGGCAAGAATACTGGAGTGGGTTACCATTTCCTTCACCAGGGGATTTTCCAGACCCAGGGATTGAACCCATATCTCCTGCATTGGCAGGTGGGTTCGTTACCACTGAGCCACCAGTGAAGTCCAACTAGATGCCTTTGGTAAGTCATTTAGCCTCTCTTAGCCGTAGTTTCCTTATTTTCTTAGTAGACTTATCTTGTATGTTTTGAGGATCCAATATAGTGAGCTAGCCCTCCAAACCTCCATTTTCTTTACACAAAATTGTCTGTTAAGTCTTTTAGGAGTGCTACTGTTAAGTGAGATTCTCAAAAGTATCCAAGAAAGCTTATAAAAATAGACAATATAAAAATTAAATTAAGCATAGCATAATAAAAATTAAACACAGCAGAGTTATTTATTAAAAGAGAAAATGAATTGAAAGGGGTTTTCATCTGCTTTTTCAAAAGACAGGGACACTTCCAACTAGCTGAACTGAGGACTCACAACCATGTACTTGAGGGCAGTGAAGTCATGCTAGCACGAAGAGGATGTCATGCTATTCAAGGAGGTGGTTTCTTCCCTGAGGATATAGTCATGAGGGAACCAGCCGTGACAGTTAACTAGTGCATTTAGCTGTCTCTCATGAATATCAGAATTTTTAAAAAGGGCTTTTGGAAAGAGAGAGAATGCAGTTTGCCTTTGGCTGAGCTCTCTGTAACAAGTGCCTGAAGAGTTACTTTTCATTGCTGTTGATTTTGTAAAGGGTGCTTTTGGCATGCATGCCGGATGCAATAGAGGCAAAATTGAGATATTTGTTATCAACTTGTATTTTTACCCAAGGAGTGGGATAGTGGGCAGGAGAGTTGAGGGGACTTGGAGATTGAGATAGTATCTTCCTGCAAGGGGGCTTGAAATCTTAGACAGCTCAGTGGAAATGATAGATTTATGTGTTACAGTCACACACACACACACACACACACACACACACACACAATAATGATCACAGACACTCCTACATCCACATGCACACACACTCACAGACCCCAATGCTCATACTTACATGCATGATCTCATGCATACACACATCATTATCACGTAAAATATTGTTCACTGCAGTGTGAGTCCTACATCAATCTGTATGGGAACAGGTACTTTAGGTATTTTATTCACCATGAATTATTCTTCACCAAATGTGGTTTAAATATTTGCCTATTCAATGAAGAAAGGAATCAGTTCTGCTCATATGTGTTTCTTTTCTCTATGGTGGTATTGGAGAGACTAGGTCAAAAGCCATTCTTTTGGCTAGGATTAAAAACTTTGGAATATCATAGACTGTTTATATTAGTTTGTCTGTCTGGTTCCCAAATTTTTAAAGAAGAAATGAATAGGTGATTCACTCTGAGAGGCATCTTAAAATGAAAATTAGAAGTTCTTTTAGAATCACAACAGGATTCTTCCACATTGAGGCAATTGTCAATCAGTCTCTGTCTTAAAATTCTTATTAAGAGAATAAATTTTGTAGTGGAGATCAAATTTTGTAGATTTTGTAGTGGAAGAATCCAAGGCAAAATTATTAATAATTATGGCAGTGAAGTATCACAGTAATTCTAAGAAAATACACTCAGAAAATTTAAATGTTACAAAATCTGAATTTGGTTTCCAAATATATTATGGAAAAATATGTACATTATTAGGTATGTTTATAGGCTAATATACATAAAACCCCTTTTAAAAAGATGTACTCACTTAAAAATCAGCATGATAGTTGAGGTGCTTCCCAGTGCAGCAGAAAAAAGGATAAGTATTTGTGCTACTGTGTAAATATAAAATTTTCTCTTACAGTCATCACTTTTCGGACATTCACCCAACTTCATCGAGTTATTTTTGCTCTGGAAACCATTTTCTTCCACACAACTACAGTTATGAAACACCTAAAAATAGTTTTTGAAATATTACAGAATATATTTGTAAAATATGACTGGGCTATAAATATATTCCATTATATTTAAAGACATCTCACTCACTTAAGTTAAAATATTTACAGTTTTAAAGAAAACATTCTAACAATGTGAAGTATTGAAAGGCATAATAGTTTTCTGGATTCCTTTCTAGATAAAAAAAAATTTTTATTAACTTTTCAGTCATCCCTAAATTAAAAATTAGGAAACAGTAGAAAAAAGTAATGTCTAGAACTCTGTAAATAATTTTCTCATTAATATGAAATTTTATAATATTTCTCTACTACTCACTTTTATTTTCTATAGCATACTTACTCTCTTTAACAATTTCTATGATGTGGGACAACCCCTGGGTAGGAACTGTCTAGGGAATCCAGAAAATATAGTAGTTTTGGAGAGGTCAAACCCAGGACTAAGTCCACCCACTAGAATGGAGCAGAGTTCAGGCAAAAGGAACCAGGCAGAGATGCTAGAATTATGCTTTGGCCAGCAAACACACCATTCGCTTGCATAATGACAGATTCTAGGATAAATAATGCCATTGCCCAAGAGGTTCAGCACAGCAAAATACCCTAAAAGTTAGGGCTCAGCAGGAGAAAATTTAGGAACAAATGATTTTTAGACTTACTTTAGCAGGCAATTTATGTAGCTAGATGGCCTTAATAAATTCTTTTCTGAGTCTAAGCTAAATCAAAGTTTAAGGGAAGTTTGAACCTGTTAATGCCAAAGACAAAATATTGAGGGAGGAACTGAGGAAGAATTTGAATTGATACTTATTTGATGACCGAGTTTTACCTTTTTACTAAGTATAGTATGGAGAAGCTCTTTATATAGCAAGCCTATTGGTCAATAAAACCAAACTTAGGTACAAAGAATATTATTTTGAGTGATTAAGAAGGGATGACATATTACTAAGAATTTGGTAAAAGAACTCCCCAGTGGTCCCCAAATGATAAAATCATTGCTAGTTTTAAGATATTTCCATAGTAGACAGAGCTCTCTTTAGGATTCTATCATCATGTCGCTTCCAGCCCTTCACTCATGGACATGGTGGAACAATATATTAAAAGGGGAACTCTTAGTGAAAGGCACTATAGCCATAAATATGAGATGTGGTTTTTAAAGTATAGTCTTTGGGAAATTTTTGTGCAAATTTATGTTTCATCTTCAAAGAATCTAGGTTCTTCAAAGTTCTTGGTGCCATTCATTAATGCAATTAGCATGACTATGAACAAGAAAAATGATGGGAAAATGTTTGAAAAGCAAAGACAGAAGGATGTGGTAGAGAGCAATGATCATATTGGATGATATTGCTAACACTGGTGATAGGAAAAGGGCCCAGGAAATGAGATATTCAGTGGATTGGAAGTGGAATGGATAACACCATGGGTGATGCCCAGCTGTTGGAAGTTACCTAGAGGATTGGGAAGAACTCATAAATTGTATGGAAGGGGATATTTTTAGTGAAGAAGGCAGTGGCATTCCTACGGGAGTTGTTAGCAATAGTTAAACAGAGTATTGTTACCTTGGATAGGAGAAGTGCCAGCTTTGGAAAAAAATCAAAATTAGAAGTCAAAAATTGGACAGTCAAGTGAGCAAGAAGCCTTAATCAATTTCTTGGGAAGTCAAAGGATATTGAGCTTAGAGATAAGGTCGCTAGAATCTATCTGCAAGACCACACATAAATGGCTGTTTATCTAGGTTGACAAGGGATTGGCTCAAGACTTCCACTTGGCATCCGAAGAGTAGGGCATCTCCAACCTAATGGAAATCATATCCTTTAGTCAAATGATGTGCTTCCTAAAGATCTAAGTGTTCTTAAATTTCAAAAGGCCATAGTCTTATAAACGCAAGAAGAAAAAGTGGGAGTAACCTGAAAATTCAAGCCACTTTGTTTACATATTACAGCCATCACAATGACAAGCAATAACGGGAATCTTTTTCTATCTCTTTACTGGGGACCTTAGTTGTAAAAACATTTGACATGTCGTTATCAAAGTTTGGTAAGTTATATCAAATCTGCAACTTTGATTAACGAGAAGCAAGTAAAAACTAATACTCACAATAGACTTTTTGCTGCCACTTGAAGACGTACATCCTGCTAAACAGGGTGATATGTAAGTTATTCCATTGCTCCCACAGAGTGGTTCCCATTGAGTTGGATCACAATTGCAGTCTGAGTTGCAATAAGAAAGTGGTACATTTAGATGTGATGCCACTGGAGTATTTCTGGAAATATATGATAGACATGTATCAGAGAGAGAAGAAAAAGGGGAAGGAGGAAAAAAAGATGAGGAAGAGAAAAAGAGAAGGAAAGGGAAAGGAAGAGAAAGAGGAAGAGGTGAGGAGGAATAATGGAAAGTGTTGTCTTTAAATTAGAGAAATTTTGCTTTTGCTTTCCCAAAATGACAAAGTTTATTTTTGGTGCTTATTAACTTTTTCACCTTTTATGGCTACCCAGACACTATTTATTATGTAGAAAAACTAAAACATAAAAAAGAGACCAAAGAGGGTAGGTTTTACGAGGCTATTAAAAATTACTAAAAAAATCACTTCATTTTTCTGAAAATAATTCTGTTCAGTAGGGTCATGGCATTAGGCTAAGGTTCTTCCCAGCTCACTGTAAAGTCCCATGAATCTGTGAATATTACTCAATTAGTTTGAATTTTAAAATCTATACTTTACAGAAGAAAATAATTCAACATGGACAAAGGAGAATACTTAAGAATCAATTTTTTAAAATCAAGAGCAACATAATCAATTGAGAGAGACTAGAAAAGCTTCATAAGGAACTACAACAAAATTTATAATAATTTACTGTAAAACATAGTTGTGCTTATGAAATATAATCTTATGGCTATATTTATAAAACAAACTATTAATACACGAGAATGCACAAGTGCACACATCTTTAGCCATCAGACTGACATTATTATCACATATCTTGTAGCCTTAGAAAATATCACCATACAAGCACTGGAAACTTGGTCCAGCACTCTGTAATATCCTAAACAGGAAAAGAATTTTGAAAAGAATAAATACAAATGTATGTGTGTCTGAATCACTTTGCTATACACCTGAAACTAACACAACTAACTAATACATGATTGTTAATCACCTATACTCCAATATAAGATAAAAATTAAAACAGAAAACATCACTAGATACTCATGAGAAAATGAAAAAAGCAAACACTATCTTGTATTAGTATGAAAATAGTTTAGAATTTGTTGGCCTTCTGATAAAGTCTATAGGTTCTCAGACCACATTCTGAGAAAAGTGAAAGTGAAGTCTCTCAGTCATCTCTAACTCTTTGCGACCCCATGGACTGTAGCCTACCAGGCTCCTCCGTCCATGGGATTTTCCAGGCAAGAGTACTGGAGTGGGGTGCCATTGCCTTCTCCAGAGTATCTTCCCGACTCAGGGATCAAACCCAGGTCTCCTGCATTGTAAGCGGGACGCTTTACCGTCTGAGCTACCACCTCTGCACTGTCACACTTTAAAAATGCACCCCAGTGACTAGCACTTCATAAACGCTGCATATATACATTCTGTTAATAGTCATCACTAGACAATGAGTTTCATGAGGGCGCTGGTATATCCTGTAAATCTTCTTGACCTTTAAGGAGGCACTTAGTGCAATTTTACCGAATTAAAAATCACACAGAAGTCTAGCTGCCTTCTTTGACTAGATAGCATGGTTACTGAACTGTTTTCAGGGAATTGACTTTAGGTTAAAACCTATATGCTTGTGATGTGTGAAGTAGCACCATTCTGGAGTCACTGATTGGTTTCAAACGAGTCAAAGTTTCTCCAGGTCTCAACTAGAAAAGGAAGAGGATATAAGAGGGTTGGGTTGTGTAATCTCCAGGGTTCTTTCCCCCCTAAAGTTCAATGCTCTAGGTACTCTGTGTTTTGATTTACCAGAGTGAGTGATAGTTGATAGGAATATTCAACAACAAAGAGAATGAGGACAGAGTGGGGAGATAATTCAAGATTAAGTTGGCAAGCCTCCAAGAATAAGATGATGTTAAGTGAATGTGGGAAGGTTCAAATGGACACCTTTTAAGATCCAGAGTTTAAAAGCTCAAAGCCAACAATAAGCAGTGCTAAGAGCCATGGTTACTAAACTGTGATCAAGGGATCTTTACTTGTTACTTGATGTGAACTTTCCTAAGCCAAAATTGTTGGTTATATTCAGGAGATGGCAATAAATCTTCATAGAATCAGAAAGTACATTGGTAGGGGCCAGAGGTTTGGGGTGGAGGGCATGGGGAGAGGCAATGGGGAATTATCATTTAATGGGGACAGAGTTTCAGTTTAGGAAGGTTAAAAATTCAGGAGATGGATTTTGGTGAGATTTGTACAGCAATATGAATGTACTTAGTAGGCACTGAACTGTACAGCTAAATATGGTTAAAATAGTGTGTTTTACACCATGTGATGTTTACCACAATAAAAAAAACAAAGAAAGCTGCACAAAGAAGTGTGCCCTTGATTTGGGGTAGAGACCATAGTCCTGGTGGCTGAGATGGTAAAGAATCTACCTTCAAATCAGGAGACCCAGGTTTGATCCCTGGGTTGGGAAGATCCCTTGGAGAATGGAATGGCAACCCACTCCAGTATTCTTGCTTGGAAAATTCCATGGACAGAGGAACCTGGTGGGCTAGAGTTCATGGGGTCACAAAGAGTTGGACACAGCTAACACTTCCACTTTTCATTGTAGTACTAGGTATACTGCACAATGTGTGATAATAATGAAAAGTAGAAGTTTTATAGGCCTAATATGCTATTATATGTAAAGAATATCAATTCTAGTGCTAATAAAGATAATACCAGAAAACATAATAGGTGTACAGAAAAGGAGAACCCAGCACAATGTAAGGGTTTTCTTATAATGATAATTGTTAAACATCAAAATTAACTGCAGATAAAGATTGTTCAGTCAATTTTGGAAAATGTCATTTATGTTTCTCTCATGTGTCAGCCAAGACCATAGTGGTTAGGACTAAGAGTTTTGGAGTCAAAACCTTAAGATTTGAGTCAGAATCATATAATCTGTGTCTCTCTCTAAGTTTTGCTCTTTTTATCTATAAAATAGTGACAGAAGTACCTATCATTCATTGTAAACACTCCATAAGTAATAACTATTACTATTATAGACTATATAGCTTTTCTTTTGTGTATCTATGTTTTAAAGAATTTTATTTTATATTGGAGTACAGTTGATTAACAATGATTTTATAATTTTTCTTTAAGGAGGGAAAAAAAAGATCTTAGGAAATGAATCTTTTGAGATCTTAAGAAACGTTTTAAGAATTTATAAATTGACATTCCTCTCAGCTTAAAGTTTAGTAAAAATTGGTATCTGCCTTGCTTTTCTTACATTCTCTTACATTAAATAGCTTACATATTGTTCAATTGATATATTGATATATACAAACCCATCATAGGTCAGGGTTAGTCCAGCAACTGATTTGTTTTCACAGATTAGTGCAAAGTTTAATAGATGAAACAGGAAGGATATCGAATGGGCACAAAGTGCAAATTTGGCAATTCCAACCAAGGTAAATTTGAACTTTTTAACAATAAATCCTCCTGTAAACATTCCAGCTGCCAAAGATGGTATGGTTATGAATCCTAGAAGTAAGAGGAAAAAAATGTAATTATTAATTATATAAATATGGTTATCCCAAATGTCTTCATGTGTGAAATGCTATCTATCAACCAAATTAATCCAATCTTATTACTTCTTAAACAGAAGACTGACAGTCTAGGATGGAGGTAGAGGACTAGTTCACTATGTGGAAGAGACAAAAATAATTTCTCCCTGCCAACACTAACGGTTTAGCTTCCCAGTAGCAAAAGTCAGTGACTGAGAATATTTGTATATCTGAACATATTGTTTCTATAAGGTACTTTTTGTTCTCTCCCCGGAAAACTACAACAAAGTATCATCTTCCTGACTCTGAGACTTTTATCCTATCACCTAAATCCTATATATTTCTTTAAATGAGGACATATTTCTTTAAAATGAGGATTTCCTATCCTTAAAAACTTACTATAAAATTTCTCAGTACTTTAGATTTGAATACTTAATTAATATCTCTTCTTCATTCATCTAAACACATATATGCCCTGAGGTGATAAACAGGCCTATATGTGATATCACGAATAACTGATTCCCCTTGTAACTTTCATTTCATAGTCCTGCATGATTTGTTAAAGATGAAGATTCTCCTAACAAAAAAATTAGGCTGAGAACCTTATTAGGAGTTAAATTCATAGTTTTAAGTTCTCCAAAATTACTGCAGATGGTGATTGCAGCCATGAAATTAAAACACACTTACACCTTGGAAGGAAAGTTATGACCAACCTAGACAGCATATTAAAAAGCAGAGACATTACTTTGCCAACAAAGGTCCATCTAGTCAAGGCTATGATTTTTCCAGTAGTCATGTATGGATGTGAGAGATGGACTATAAAGAAAGCTGAGCACAGAAGAACTGATGCTTTGAACTGTGGTGTTGCAGAAGACTCTTGAGAGTCCCTTGGACAGCAAGGAGACCCAACCAGCCCATCCTAAAGGAGATCAGTCCTGGGTGTTCATTGGAAGGACTGATGTTGAAGCTGAAACTCCAGTACTTTGGCCACCTCATGCGAAGAGCTGATTCATTGGAAAAGACCCTGATGCTGAGAAAGATTGAAGGCAGGAGGAGAAGCGGACGACAGAGGATGAGATGGTTGGATGGCATCGCTGACTTGATGGACATGAGTTTGGGTGAACTCCAGAAGTTGGTGATGGACAGGGAGGCCTGGCATGCTGTGGTTCATAGGGTTGCAAAGAGTCCTGGCATGCTGTGGTTCATGGGGTTGCAAAGAGTCGGACATGACTGAGCAACTGAACTGAACTGAACTGAACTGAAGTTCGATAAGAACATCATAAACAATTATTTTCTTGTTTACTTATGACCTGTTTATATACCTCTTGATAAAGCTAGCTTTAACTTACCAAACATTAAGTTTCTACAAAGAGCTGGGCTCTATACTGGGTATTCTACTGCTCTTCAGAATCTTATATTGGGGGTGTTGCTCTTTTAGTTACTAAGTTGTGTCCTACTCTTACAGCCCCATGAACTGTAGCTCACCAGGCTCCTCTGGGATTTTCCAAGCAAGAATATAGGAGTGGATTGCCATTTCCTTCTCCAGGGGATCTTCCTGACCCAAGGATTGAACCTGTGTCTTCTGCATTGGCAAGTAGATTCTTTCCTGCTGAGCCACCAGCAAAAACTATACTGTGGGTAGGGAAAGAATAATATGAGGAAACCTTTCCTTCATAAACAAGCCTTCATGTATCATTGGAAATAGATACTGTAGCTCCCCACCCCCCCAAAAACCTCTCTAAAATATGATATTTTTGGTTTGAATTATGTAGATATCAATGATGTGTTTACATTGATTTTCCTTTTGGAAACAACAATGCCCTATTTTTTATAAGTATTTGGGTCCTAATTCAAAGTTCATGAATGATGGGAGTAATAGTCACATTATGAAAGGATTTGCCTCATGATCTCAGCACTAGATTGTAAGATCCAGTTATGCAGATATTATAGCTACATGTATATTCACGTTCACATGTCACTTTTCCTTCAGGAATTCATCTCCTCCAAAATTACTTGAAGGCTTTGTCGGTGGCTCAGTGGTAAAGCATCCACCTGCCAATGCAGGACATAGAGGCTCAATCCCTGGCCCAGGAAAATTCCACAATGCATGGAACAACTATGCCCCTGGCCCCACAACTATTGAGCCTGTGCTCTAGAACCCGGGAGCCACAGCTACTGAGCCTGTGAGCTGGAAACTACTGAATCCTGTCTCCATAGAGCCTGTGCTCCACAACAAGAGAAGTCACCACGATGAGAAGCCCACACACTGCAATGGAGAGTAGCCCCTGCTCACCACAACCAGGGAAAGTCCTTGCAACAATGACCCAGCACAGTCAATAAATAAAGGAATGATATCATAAAAAATAACATGAGATACAACTTCAAAGGCAGAGCAATGGTAATATCACAAGATGGATGGATCTGATAAAATTTGAAGAAAAGAAAACTGTGTTTCATAAAACAGGAAATTGCCTTCACAACAAAATGTCACTCGGAACTCCTTTCCTCAGTAGTTTGTCGTTTATAAAGCAAACATAAACAATGGGTCTCACCAAGCAAAATGCTCGTCTCAGATGCTGACTTGCCATACTGCTGTTCTACGTATTTGAAAATGTAAGTAATAGAACCAATATGGCTGCTGGCTTGTAGCAGTGTCAAAAATAATGTTAAAACATACAGGGGATTGGTAAGGATGCTTTTCAAGGACTGGAAGAAACCTATAAAAACATCAAAAGAAAGAAAATATAATGCAGCTTGAAGATACATTAATATCTTAATCCAGTAAATATAATTTATATGACTTAAAATTCCATAAATTTCTAGAACAGAAAGTCAGAGTACTCTGCAATTCTACTGTCAGCAGTTTTCCTAAAATATATTACTTCCATTCTTTCCATATGTACATTCATATTTTTAAGAATAAACTAAATAAAATGGAGTATTTATTTTGTTCATTTTATTTCCAAAATGGGATCAAGCATACATGCTGTTTGTTATATCAACTTGCTTATTCACTTCATATTTGGCTAATAGCACTCTACCATACAACTGCATACATGTTAGTTCATTTATTCACTTATTTAACAAATGTTTGGGTTTTGATTGGGTACCAGGTAATATGTTAGGCACTGAAGGAACAAAAGCTAACGAAATGTCTCTTTTTTATTAACATTTAATAGTATAATTATTATGTTAATAACATAATTATTAAGTACAAATTTACCTTAAAGATAGTATGAACCCAAAGCTCACAAAAATAGAATACTAAGGTTCAAAAATCATAAAGGTTAATTTAGTACCAGGACTCAAAACTGTTTTTTTCTGGTATATAGTTTCTACCATAAAATACTGCTTCAATAATTCTGGCAATATTAGCAATCACCTTTATTAAACAGATATTGTGTCTCAAATGACATTATGACAGCAGTAGGCAAAAACCCATGTCTACGGACAGGAGTGTAACAAATCCATAATTTCTGTACCTAGCAAGAATTATGTGATTTCAGTCTATGATTACCAGGTTAACCAGCTGCAATGGGAGTTAAAGTGGAAAGAATCACTTAGAAAAACAGTGGGAAGTATCAAAGTCTAGTAAGACCGAACCAGATATCGTTCTTGAGAGATGGATGGTGTGGACTTTGAAAGGTCTTGTTCTGTAGAACTTTAAAGGTTTCCATTAAACATGGTCAGAATCAAATGTTCTATCCAACGGTAATTAAGAAATAGCTTCATCTGCTTATAATAATAGAAAAAAGATTAGGGCAAAGGACATAGAACAGGAAAGAAGAAGATGTACAGAAACGTATAGCAGGAATAAATAACATTTAAAATTATTAGGTCAAAATGCTAAACTTTGCTCTTTGGGATTCCCCAATCAGGAAGAACCATTGACTTGTGAGGCATTCTATGTGAGTTGTGATATTTGATCAAAAGAAATAAGACATATAGGCTCACCAAATCATTGAATTTTTGAGGTGACTGAGAACTTGGACATCATTTGTACTTCTACATAATCATGATCCATTATGTAACCTCAATAACGGATAAATAAACAACTCATGTGACATTAATCTGATAATCTCAGAAAGAAATTGCTCCACTTTTGGTCGATTCTCCATGTTTACAAATTGTTTCTTTAATGAACTGAAAGCTTTATTTCTTTCTAATCAATTAGTCTTATTTCTGTTCAAATTAGATACATACTTTTTCTGACTAAAACTTCTTAGTTATTTCACCTATTCCTAGTAGCACATATGAAGGATCTCTTTGCTATCTTATATTGGTCACTATCTTGCAAACACAGTTGATAATATAGATGATGGTGTTGGAGAAGACTCTTGAGAGTCCCTTGGACTGCAAGGAGATCCAACCAGTCCATCCTAAAGGAGATCAGTCCTGGGTGTTCTTTGGAAGGACTGATACTGAAGCTGAAACTCCAATACTTTGGCCACCTCATGTGAAGAGTTGACTCATTGGAAAAGACCCTGATGCTGGGAGGGGTTGGGGTCAGGAGGAGAAGGGGACGACAGAGGATGAGATGGCTGGATGGCATCACCGACTCAATGGGCATGAGTTTGAGTAAACTCCGGAAGTTGGTGATGGACAGGGAGGCCTGGTGTGCTGCGATTCATGGGATCACAAATAGTCGGACACGACTGAACAACTGAACTGAACTGAACTGAACAATTGTTCTAATTTTGTATTTTCATTATCCTCTCCATTCTTTTTGGGCTTCCAGTCAACCATGTTCATTACAGGTTTAAATAATCAACTACTTTTAATGGATTTAATTTGCTGCAGTATGAAAATAGTATAAATTGGATGAAAATTCAATGGGATGTTATTTTTAGTTAATTTCAAAAACCTCCTCAGTGATGTGCTGGTAAATGTTTAACAACTGATTCTTGGGAGCACAGTGCCTGATTTGGGTATTTCCCAATTTTGGTAATAAGTGGTGGTAACTTCTCCTATTTGGCCAATTTCAAGTTACCAATGTAGTTGAAAAATTAAATCTCTCATGAGCCCATACAAGTAACACCACTGCTTTCAGATTAGAGAGGTGGAGAGGAGAAAGTAACAATAAAAGGAGAAGGTGGAAGAACTGATGGGAGGGAGAACTTGGGCTACACCAACAGTCTCTAATGTCACTTCAGTTTTAACTTGAAAGGCTGCCAAGGGTTCAGGTGTTGCTCTGCTTTGACCCTTACTGCTCCACCATTGCTGTGTGATCTGAAAACTGCACTGTTAACATCTCATTGTTTTAACCATCTTGCTCTGACTGCTGCTGTATCAATCACAGATTAGCGCTCCTAAATTTTTCTCTATTAGTCTTTGGCAGCTTATGTTGGAAAGGAAAGTCACTATCCTCTTCTATGGGGGATTCTTATTCATATGACTGACTCCAGTACTCTTTACTACTACTCTTGTTTCTACTTCATTTTTGAATATTTAGGTAAGCAATTTTTTCTATATAAGTGCCAAGAAGGCAATCTTACTCTAATTATCTAGAAAGAAACTTGATCTGATTTCCTTCTGCATGCTCCATGTCTCCACCTAAGTATAATTAAGTTACCCAGTTTATAGGCACTCAGAATTCCTTATATAGGCACTACATGGCTGTTGTCTATATTTCTTGTTACAACCTCACTGTATTGTAAATACTTGAAAAGCAGAGGCAATATTCTATTATCAGGGCATAATATGATTCCTGGTACCATTTGTGAAGCGAAAGAAAGGAAGGAAGGGAGGGAAATAAAGAAGGGAAAGAAGGAAAAGAGAGAGAAAGGAAGGAAGCGAGAGAGAAAGCAAGAAAGAAAAAGAGAGTCCTTTTAACTCATAATTTGTACTATATAATTTGGAAATGACTATATACTCTTTGGTTTACTAATAACAGATAGTTTTTTAACCTTTAACTGGTTTCTCCCTGCTAAAGACCACAGCCTAATCCTCTTCTCTACAGAGCTGATACGTGTTCAGAAAATATGAAGTTTAGTAGGAATCTTAGAAGAATAATCCAACCAAATTTAGTACAGAAGAACACTCACTTTAGATGATTTGAGTATGACATTATTTTGGAATAATCACCTCTCTCACTGGGATTAACAACTCCAAACTGACTATAAATGTGAAATACTTACCAGTTACAGTGTCAGTAACATTTTGCCCAGTCTTGGTCAAACTAGCCATTTGACTCTTTTCTTCATTTTGCGTAGGCAAAGATATTGAGGATGCTGAAGCTTTTTTTTCTTTATTTGGTTTATCCAAAGTTTTGGGCAAGAAAAAGAATGGTATGGAAGAAATAATGGATATTAGTCCAGCCGCAAGGAAGCCAAGCCACCAAGCACCAACCCAACGAGAGTCCTGAGGAGTTATTCTGACAGTGCCTAGAATAAAGAATTAGAAGAAGCCAGTCAAAAATCGTTTTGAAGTGTAAGAATTTCTGTGAAATAATGGTAATAATTGCTGTTCTTCATAGATGAAGAAAGTAAATGATGTTTCATCCATTCTGAGACAATTTTTTTTTCACACATTTTCATTTTTGAAATAAGGGTGAGTCTAGCATTTAATGACATCTTACAGTTGTTGTCTAGGAATCTGTCATGACACTGTTGTCATTGACGGAGCCTGCGTGAACTTGGTGGTTTTTGTGTTGACATGAATGAACAGCTGCCCTTATGGAACGATTAAAGCCTGAAAATTGTTTGAGGGCCAGCTTTGGAATTCTCTGGTGGCTCAGTGGTAAAGAATCCAACTGCCAGTACAGGAGACACAAGAGATGGCAGGTTCTATCCCTGGGTTGGGAAGATCCCCTGGAGTAGAAAATGGCAACCCACTCCAGTATTCCTACCTAGAAAATTTCATGGACACGGGAACTTGGCGGGCCGAAGTCTGTGGGGTCACAGAGTTGGACATGACTGAGCATCACAACAATGGCAACATGGAAGGCATGAATCCTCACTGTCTGAAAACTTATATTGGCACCATCTTCTGAGGTCAAGAAATCATCAGCAATGAAACTTATAGCAGTCTGCAAGAAATTCCCAGAGCTAATACTAAGGTTTTCCCCCCACTAGAACCTGCATTTCCAACTCTTCGACAGCACAGAGGATGATAATGGTGAAGATATATACATACTGAAACTCCAAGTTCAGGATCTGAACTCAAAATTTTAGGGAAAATTTAACCATTTTATTTCAATAATATTTTCCCTTAAAGCTGTGTGAGTGATATGTATGTGCTATATTTGTGTGTGTTAGTTACTCAGTTGTGTCCGACTCTTTGCGATCCCATGGACTGTAGCCTGCCAGGCTGATCTGTCCATGGAATTTTTCAGCCAACAATACTGGAGTGGGTTGCCTTCTCCAGGGGATCTTCCTGACCCAAGGGTCAAACCCGGGTCTCTTGCATTGCAGGCAGATTCTTTACCTCTGAGCACCAGCGAAGCCCATGTGCTATATCTAAACAATTATAAATGAACTGTTTCAGTGAGTATAAAGCAAACATTCTAATAAGGAAGTACCACACACACAAACACACCATAGAAATCTGAAGCACAAGAATGGTGTTGTTACTCTTTGATGAGAGTAACATCTCTTAGCATGAGAAAACATTGATTTGATATAAAGAAGTAAATTATTCATTCTATTTAGTGAAGTGGTTTTAAACTATGCACAGATCTGAGTTTAAAATTGCTTTGCATGTTCATATCATTTCATAATCAGCAACTCTAGTAGACTTTAGAAATGATTGGTAAAATCAGAGACTCCATCTATATGCCAAGTACTTATTTACCATCTGTCAGAAATGTCATTTTGGTAACATTTTTTTGTGCTCTATCCCTGGTCTACACATAAGAACTAGAGATCATAACCTGTCTAGACACAGCCTTCTGAAGTGTTCTCCTTTGCTCACACACTATCATAAAAATTGGAAGATTCTACATGGAAGTCTGGATTTCTAGATTTTCTTAAAAACCAATCAGTAGATTTTGTCAATGCTGGATCCAGATTTCTGCATGAAAAGAATAGGTTGAGTCTGAGTAGTAAATGCATTTTCAAGTGTGTTCAGAGGGTAGCTCACCACCATCAGTTCTTACAAGTTTAACCATCATACTTAACACTCTTTATTCACTTGTTATCTAATTGGCTCCGTTGGCATTGGAGCTTGCCAATGTGTACTTCATAATATGTTTACATCACACTCATGACTAACTAAGAGAAGATGTAATTAAGTCTTGATATTTAGTGGTAGAAATGGGATTACCATATATCTAAAACACTATGAGTAGTAATTTCTGACTACAGAAAAGAGGCTACAAAACTATCATTCCAAAGATTTTAATAATCATTTATTTCTAGGTTCCTGGTGGTAAAAGAAATGATGAACCTGGAAGTGAATGAATAGAAACATAAAATATGTTTCACACATCCAAAATAGAAGACATAACATATTCCATCAGGTCCACATTTTAGCTTTATATTAAAATACTTGCAAGATTGTGGTTATCACTGGACTTCTGTGAAGTCTACTCTATGTAGACCTGGTGCAATAGAAAATCTGATTTGCTTATTTCCAAATGCTAATTACTTATTATATGTCAATACAGACACTATATTATTATGTTCTAAAAGAGATGGCATATCAGTGTACACATATTTGTGGCTCATTGTGATAAAGACCACAGTAAAGACATGCTCTTGGTGATTAACAGGGGTGTTTAACTTTTGATGCCAGTAGAACATGGTGAAGTAAGACTTTTCTGAAGAGGAGCCAAGTTTTAGAAGAGACTTTAAACTATGCAGATAGAGAAGGGTTCTCTAAGAAATGCATGTAAGTGACATCAGAGGGTCAACGGAGAGACCTGCAATTAGTTTGCAATTATTTTGGATGAAATCATCTTAAGTTTCTTAAATTTTCTTATTTTGTGCTTATTTGTAAAAGCCTGATTTAAATAGCTATGTGTGTGCTCAATTGTGTCAGACTCTGTGACCCCATGGATTGTAGCCCCCCAGGCTCCTCTGTCTATGGAGTTTTCCAGGCAAGAATACCGGAGTGGGTTGCTATTTCTTACTCCAAGGGATCTTCCCGACCCAAGGATTGAACCAGCACCTCTTGCATCTCCTGCACTGGCAGGCAGATTCCTTACCACTAGCACCACCTGATGTTGATAGGAGATGTATTTTATTTTTATTATAGATATTAACACATTTCTTGTTTGTAACTTTTGACAATTAGTCTGCAAAAAGCCACTGAAAGAATGAATTCACTTATTTGGAAGGATGCTGTCATGTACTTCAAAAGCATTATCATGTTACCTTGCTCTGAGGGTACTTACTCAGATCCACATATCCAATATCCACGTACATTTTAGAAAACTGAGATACCAGTAAAAAGCCAATGATTGGACCAATCATTGTTACTGCAAGCAAATTACCTAAAAACATTATAAAAAATTGTTATCAGATGCCAATAATACATGGTTTTTATTAAATTTTTTAAAGCAATACTACTCAATATATTTCCCCAAATAACTTTTCATTAAATAAAAGAATGAGTTGAGGAGCATTGTTATTTCAAGTTACACCCAGGGGAAGTAACCATAAAATCTAATATTTTCTGTACATTACCCAAATACAAAGAAGAATGTCCTTCTTCAGCAAAATCATCGATGTAAGAAATCCCCAAGGGTCCAATAGGGGTTTCCCCAATTCCACGAAGCATATTACCCATTAGAACATATATCCACATGTATGATCCAGAATCCTTTTCCCAACCTATGTAGACAAGAGAATGCTTTATTTTAAACATTAATCTTAGCATTCCTGTTAAAAACTCAACTAATGTAACCCTTTAATTATTCCATTTAAAGTGTTTTGTTCTTTTCTAATTAGAAGAATGATTTATAGTCACATTACAGAATTTGACAATGTAGAGAAAGACAAAGAAAACAAGTAAAATGATCTTAATCCCACCACACAGAGAGAGCCACTTCTGATGTTTGTTTATATCTTTCACGTTTCTAGTGAACACAAAAATATGCATAATATTCTTTATGTTCTTATAGCAGGATTTCAATGACTGCATCGTAGTGTGCTGAATAAGTTTCATTATTTCTTTAATCAATTTCTTTCCTTGTTTGTTGTTTTTGGCTGCTGAGTCGTGTCTGACTCTTTTGCAACCCCATAGACTGTAGCCCACTAGGCTCCACTGTCATGGGATTTCCCAGGCAAGAGTAGTAGAGTGCCATGGGATGCCATGATTATAATGATAAATAGATCCTTCTGTATATTCCTGATTATTTCCTTTAAGATAAAGCAATAAAAGTAGAACTGCTGATTTAAACAGATATGCATATTTTGTCCTTTATCATCTTAAAAATTAACTTCCAAAAGAGAAATTTATACACTTTCTATAATACATGAAATGTGGCTTTTTCCTCTACCTCATTTCTTTTTTTAATTTTTAATCTTTTCCTATCTAATAGGTAACAAAATTTTTAACTAGTACTATAATAAAAATGATTTGCATTTTAGTAGGTAAACAATCTTTAATTTGTGTAATAATTTGCATTTTTCATAAAGGGTAAAATTATATTTAAATATATTCATGCCACTTCCTCTTCTTTTACATTAGTGGCATATTTTCTTTGCCAATTTCATATCAAAATATTTCCTTTTTTCTTATTGCTTCTAGAAGCTCTTTATACATTAACAATGATTTTTGTCTTACATACACAAAATGAAAATGTTTTTCCTATTGTTTTTTAATAAACTTTGCTAATAGATAATATAATAATTTGTTATAGATGTAATATAATTGTTACATTTTAGAATATTTATTTGTGACAGTAATATTCAATAGTGTGAATTCAATTCTTACCTTTTTCCACTACCTCCAGTGATGTTCTATTGGGTAACAAATTTTGGTTAATCAAACAAGTTGGTAAACTTGATGTTGAATTCTCTGATGGATTAAAAGTGGTATCTTTAGAATACCTGTAACTGTAAGAACATTACTATATTTGCTGAATAGTTTTACTTTTCCCAGAAATGCAGAGGAATTTTCCCCTGTAACTGTACCATTATCTTCTCCAAATTATTAGGATACTCTTTGTCAGTTTCCCAGCCTACATGTTAGGAGAAGTGATAGGTAAAAGTAAAAAAGAAGTGTTCGCTAAGAAATATCTTGTAATACTACCCAGGCAAGGTGGATTATCACATTGCTGTCATCCTAAGAATTCTTATATTCTGGTCAATGTATGAAATATCTTGGTTTCAAGTTTAAAAAAAATTGCTAAGTGCATTTATTCATCCCTTTGAATTATCTTCAAAGATGGTTACAATCTAAACTTTCAAAATTAATTTACAATCATACTGATTCACCTGCATCTTCCATCAATAATTTACCTGAATTTCTTTCATGAACACACACACACACACACACACACACACACACACACTCACACGCACAGAGTCATATGCCTGACTCCTCAAAACTTAGTTTAAAAAGTTCTAGTCTATTTCAGTTTGATAAGGAAGAACTTAATTAGAACAACAGAGATGGACCTAGAATAGTACAAATGTTGTTATTTAAAAATACATGAATGGACAGAAAGGTATTGTGCTTAGTAAAATAAGTCAGGCAGAGAAAGACAAAGACTGTATGTTTTCACTTATATGCGGAACCTAAAAAAATAAAAAGAACATATATAACAAAATAGAAACAGACTCACAGATATAGGAACAAATTAAGGGTTATCAGTGGGAAGAGGATTGGGGGAAGATAGAGAGAATAGGTTAAAGGGATTAGAGGTACAAACAACTAAGTACAAAAGAAATAAGATATTAAGATGTGATGTACAGCACAGGGAATATAGTCAGCATTTTATAAATATAAATGGAGTATAATCTATAAAAATAATGAATCTGTATGTTATGCACCTGTTACTATTATAATTCATCCATTATACTTCAATAAACAATATAAATTAAAAATACTGAGGTGCCCTGTGAGTTCCAAGGGCAACCTACTGTATGCCAGGCATTATGTGCAACTCCAAATCACTAGAAATAAAACACACAGCTTTTGTTATCAAAATATCTTACATCCTCTAAGATAAACATATATGATGAAAGATACAAAAAGGTTAATATGTCAGGTCCCGAGTTGTTGTAAAGGAAAGAGATGATCAACTTTGCTTGGATATTGAGAAGGGTGTGGATTAGAGAAAAGTTCACAGTGAGGATTCCATAGGAGATGAATTTTGAAGATAGAAAGGAGTTTAACAGGTAGACAAAGAAGGAAAAGTACTCAAAGTTGTAGAAACACTATGAACAAAAGTATGACTTATAATGGCACATTTGAAAAACTCTAGACCTAGAGTGTGGTCCTCAATCATGGGAAGCCGTGTAAAATGAAACTGGGAAGATAGTCAAGGCCAAATCAATGAATTACCTGTATATACAAATAAACCTAGATATTAATTCATAGGCAAGAGACTTTCAATACTTTGACTATACCAATAGTGAGAAATATATTTTGCATCACAATCACAATACATACATGTCCCCACCCCCCGCACAAATTTATAAAACCAAAAAGAAAGTTTCACAGAATAACTGTGTTTTCTTCTATTCTGTTCTATTCTATTCTATCCTCTCATATTAGAAAATTGTTGGTCTCAATAATCTGAATTGATTTACTGATTGACAAGTTTTTCAGGATCTGAATTTTGAAAACTACTCCTCTAGGATATTGGGAGTTTTAAGTAGGAGTGAAATAATAATTGCTTTTAAAATGAACACCATAGGACTTCCTTGCTGGTCCAGTGGCTAAGACTCCAAGCTCTCAATGCAGGGGGCCTGGGTTTATACCTGGTCAAGGAACTGGATCTCACATACTGCAACTAAAGATTCTGCATACTGCAATGAATATTAAATATATCAAGTGCTTGCATTAAGACCCATTATAACCAAATAAATAATTTTTTAAAATAAAAATTAAAAAAAGTAAAATGAATACTGTGGTATAGAGTGTGAGTTACAATGAAGTTGAGATGGGATGCAGAAAGTCCAGGCCAGAGATGATGGGAAAGAAAAAAGGGACAACTTTGACATATAAGAGGTATAAAAAGCAAGATTTGGTGACCACTGGTCATGTGTACTGAAGCAAAGAGTAAGTCTAAGATGAGATCCTTGACTTTGGTTTATCTGTGGATAAATGAATCACTGCTGAAAGAGTGAATGTGAAAAATCTGAGTTGGTTTTGGCACAGAGATAAATTCAATTCTGAATATATGGGTGGAAAATGTTTGTAGGATGTTAGGCTGGAGATACCCTTGAGGTGGCTGATTATATAAACCTTGAGTGTAAGGTAAACTCACTGTATAGTGATAGTTGCATTTAATGCATGTATTTGACACAAATCATGTAGAGCATAAAGTGAAGAAGATTGGTAAAGGAACTTAGGCAAGACTATGGCATCAGAAGCAGAAGGAACGGGTGGGTATGATGGAGAAACCAAAAGGAGGAAATAAATCAAGAGGGAGTAAGATGATGGAAATAAGAAGGAACAGTACCAGGAAGAAGAAAGACCTTATGAAAATCAAATATAGTAATTAACATAGTAACAAAAAAGCATGGCTGTTGGCATTGATAATGAGTAGGTAATTTATATCTTTAGCAGAAACTGCTCATTGGCTCTCAGTATCCACATTCTCCCCTTTCTATGGTTTCAGAATCTGGGAACTTTAGCTGGGAAATGGATGCCTGAAATAAAGTCTATTTTTCCCCAAGAACTTTAGATATGAGGTGTAACAAAGTTCTGGCTAGCTTGAAGCCAGTAGAAGTGTTATGCTTCTGAAGATATTTCTTAAGCCTCATCCTGTGTGAGTTCTTTTTCTTCTTATTCTTCATCCCTTCTTCTGTCCTGTTGTAAGGAACAACATTGCCACAACTGAGACCATGAGGTCAAGGCCAGTCAAGGCCTAGGTTGGCTACATTAACTTTTTATGTAAAAAATAAGCTCCTATCTTCTTTAAGCCATCACTATTTTTGGTTCTCTGTCATCAGTATCTGACTCTAATTAAAACTACACGGAGACTCAGGTAGAAGGTTCCGTGGAGATGGTAGTGGGAAAACCCAAACTGCAGTGAGTTGAGTGGGGAAGTTGTGAGAAGCTTTTGGCAGGAAAGCCGTCTCTGCAAGAGGTCCTTTGTCTCTTCACTTTAGCAAAAGTATATTGTAACTAACTTTTAAATCAGGCTGCCCATGTGCTACTCAATCTCCAGCCAAAGCACACATTTCAAACCTTTTGATCACAAGATATCTTACCTAACCTGTCTATTCCTTCCGTAGATCAAAGAAGTAAAAATGAAGAATAAGTAATTAACGAATGACCAGATCTCTTTCCTAGTTTTCCCTTCAGTGAACAAGCTGTGTGAACAAGGTAGCGTCTAAAGAAAGATCACAAGAAGTTAAGCCTGCCCACAGTGGAGGATGGTAACGACTTTGACCCTCTTTCTCAATGATTAACAGATCCCTTCTCTTTTCCCTTCAAAAACTTTTATGGCTAAACAGAATCACGGGAATTGATTTTGGGGGCATAGGAATCCATCTTTTCCACAGATTGTTGGCATTCTGATTAAAAACAAAATTTTCTTTCTACCAGCAATTGCCTCTCAGGTATTGAATTTTGAGTGGTGAGCAGTTGGACCTGGGGTCAGTAAATAAAGTCTTATTAAATAGTATCAAAATCTTGTAGGCAAAGACATAAAATATATGTTATAGTAAAAAGTCACAAAAAGCTTATTTATTTTCTATGAAATTGCACATGACTTATTGCTATTCCTGTTTCAATATCAGTGAGAGCCACGGTAAATAAAACAATGAGTTAATTATTTTTTAGAAAATATAATCCATTTCTATACATGCTTAGTGGACATTCTTCTTAAGGGGAATACTTATTTAAAAATAAAAAACAAAATTCTATGATTAGTTTACAAGGAAACGATCTTTGATAGCATAAAGCCACTTACTATCCCATGAAGAAATGCGGTAAAGCAGTCAAAATACTTCCAGTTCCCATAATAATGCAACCAATTCCAATTAGCTTCGGTCTGTGTAATTTGGCTCCAAAATAACTCACAAATACAATCACAAGCAAATTTCCTACAAAGAGAACAAAATTATTTTTATATGATTCATTATAGCAAACAGTTACTGAGTCCACATTTGTGTCCAAGAGAATAGAAAGCCCAGAATGGATACAAATAAAGCATAAGACATAGTATGTGCATGCTAAGTTGCTTTGGTCATGTCCATCTGTGCGATCCTATGAACCATAGCCCTCCAGGCTCCTGTCTCAGTGGGATTCTCCAGGCAAGAATATTGGAGTGGGTTGCCATGCCCTCCTCCAGGGATCAAACCTGCATTTCTTAGGTCTCCTACATTGCCAGGAGAGTTCTTTACTACTAGAACCATCTGGGAAGCCCATAAGATGTGCTCCAAGATCTGGTAATCTAATTAGGATAAAACTCACTTAGCTTAAGCCACTCACTATACAGTTGTATGGTATTATTAATAAATAGACTTGACTTTAGATAAGAGTGAAAGGACTTGAATTACTTGGTGATATCAATGAAGCAAAATTTTTGAAGAATTTGGAGTTGAGTCGGTTGTTTTGGAATGGAGGAAAAATGGACAAAATTACTTGAGGAAAAGTATTCACTTGTGCATTTTTCATTCACTTTTATCATTCTTTAAATTCCTATTAAGTACCTTCCATGGTCCTAGAAGCCAGAAGTATAAGAAAAAAAATAAACACTGTGTGGTATCTGGGTAGAGGAAAATGGGCAGAGGCATTCAGCAACCAGTTCATAAAATAAGAGAAACAATTCAATTGCTCAATAATTCAATTGCTCAATAATTATACAAAGTCTCACTAGTATTGGAGAAATCCAAATTAAAATGAAGAAAACAAAACAATATACTCAATGTTCTTAAAAAAAATTTTAACCCCCAATTCTATATCCTGTTAAACAGTCTGCCCATTTTCCTTTTCCCCCACTTTTTAATGATTTGAAGGGACTCAAAATTTATGTCGGTTTTATAGATTACATATATTTTTTTACAAGTATGCTCTTTTCCTTTGACCATGCCATTATCTATGTGGGAATCCCAGTCCCTCAACTAGGGATCGAACCCTCTGCTCATTTATCTCTTTTCTCAGTGATATGTATGTTCTTTTAGAGCAGATACCATACAGTGTTTATTCTTTTCTTATACTTCTGGCATCTAGGACCATGAAAGATACTTAATAGAAATTTAAAGAAAGCTAAAATTGAATGAAAAATGCATTGAGTAAATATCTTTCCTCAAGTACTTTTGTCCTACAGCTATTTCCTATAGCTGTAGGAAAAACAGCTAAAGAAGTCAACATTCACAGATAGTACATTGTGTACTATCTGCTTTGAAACTTTGAAACTTTGCAGCTTTGAAACTGCAGGGGGACGTGTGTGTGTGTGAACCTGGAAATGGGGTATGATGGCTCAGATGGTAAAGAATCTGCCTGCAATGCAGGACGCCTGGGTTTGATCCCTGGGTTGCAAAGATCCCCCTGGAGGAGGGAATGACTACCCACTCCAGTAATCTTGGAGAATTCCAGGGACAGAGGCGCCTAGTGGGCTAGAGTCCATGGAGTCACAAAGAGTCAGACACAACTGACTAACTCTTACTTTTCTCAAACAGTAGAACCTAACAAATATTGCTTCAGAACTGTTCCTCCCTTCTGAAATCATCAGAATCGTATTCCTCTCTCCAAATTTTTCTTGCACTAGTGCATCTTGAGAAAAGGAAGGTTAAAACCCTGCAAAATAGTAGTTCGCAGACAGTGAGCTTGCGTAAATCAGAGCTGCTTAACCTCTATACTTTTGACATTTTGGACTAGGTAATTCTTTGTTTTGGAGCTGTCTTGGGCATTGTGGGATGTTTAGAGGCATTTCTGGCCTCCACCACTAGATGCCAGTACCATTCCCTATTCCTCAGTGATGACAACCAAAAATGTCTCCAGATACTGCCAAATTGCCACGGCAGGGGAGTGGGGATCCTTACCTCTGGTTAAGGATCAGTGGTGGAGAGCATATATGAACAGTTTTTACCTCTGCAATTCTGATTACTAAATAATCAAAATGCACATAAAACTTACCAATTTCAAAGCTTCCGTCAATTAAGCCAACAGTAGAAGATGATATGTCAAATCTCCTTTCTATTTGAGTGATGGAACTTTTCATAATGATTGCACCCAGTGACTTAGAAATAAAGCTGAGTGACAGGGCTGCCAAGAACATCTAATGAAAAGCAGGAAAGGGAAAAATGATTAATCATAAGATCACATAATGCTTATATATATATACAGAATTAAAAAAGCTTCTCTTCTTTACCTAGTATTTTGTGTCTGTGCATGTGTTGTGTTAAAAGCATACTCACTTTCTTCTATTTCAATTGGTACTTCTTAGTCCTTTTAACATTAACATCACTATATCCATAAAGGATCATTTTCTAACTTGATTACAGCATCAGATTATTAGAGTAGGACAAAGTTGAATTTTTCATTAAGTTAATGTCATTGGTTTCTCAGTTCAGTTCAGTCGCTCAGTCATGTCCGACTCTGCGACCCCATGAACCGCAGCACGCCAGGCCTCCCTGTCCATCTCCAACTGCCCGGGTCCACCCAAACCCATGTCCATTGTGTCGGTGATGCCATCCAACCATCTCATCCTCTGTTGTCCCCTTCTCCTCCTGCCCTCAGTCTTCTCCAATATCAGGCTCTTTTCCAATGAGTCAGCTCTCCGCATCAGGTGGCCAAAGTATTGGAGTTTCAGCTTCAACATCAGTCCTTCCAATGAACACCCAGGACTGATCTCCTTTAGGATGGACTAGTTTGATCACCTTGCAGTCCAAGGGACTCTCAAGAGTCTTCTCCAACACCACAGTTCAAAAGCATCAATTCTTCGGCCCTCAGCTTTCTTTATAGTCCAACTGCCACATCCATACATGACTACTGGAAAAACCATAGCCTTGACTAGATGGAACTTTGTTGACAAAGTAATGTCTCTGCTTTTTAATATGCTGTCTAGGCTGGTCATAACTTTCCTTCCAAGGAATAAACATCTTTTAATTTCATGGCTGCAATCACCAGCTGCAGTGGTTTTGAAGCCCAGAAAAATAAAGTCAGCCACTGTTTCCCCATCTATTTGCCATGAAGTGATGGGACCAGATGCCATGATCTTAGTTTTCTGAATGTTGAGTTTTAAGCCAACTTTTTCACTCTCCTCTTTCACTTTCATCAAGAGGCTCTTTAGTTATTCTTTACTTTCTGCCATAAGGGTGGTGTCATCTGCATATCTGAGGTTATTGATATTTCTTCCAGCAATCTTGATTCCAGCTTGTGCTTCCTCCAGCCCAGCATTTCTCATGATGTACTCTGCACATAATCAGGGTGACAATATACAGCCTTGATGTACTCCTTTTCCTATTTGGAACCAGTCTGTTGTTCCATGTCCAGTTCTAACTGCTGCTTCCTGACCTGCATATAGGTTTCTCAAGAGGTAGATCAGATGGTCTGTATGCCCATCTCCTTCAGAATTTTCCACAGTTTATTGTGATCCACACAATCAAAGGCTTTGGTATAGCCAATAAAGCAGAAATAGATGTTTTTCTGGAACTCTTTTGCTTTTTTGATGATCCAGTGGATGTTGGCAATTTGATCTCTGGTTCCTCTGCCTTTTCTAAAACCAGCTTGAAGATCTGGAAGTTCACGGTTCACGTATTGCTGAAGCCTGGCTTGGAGAATTTTGAGCATTGCTTTACTAGCGTGTGAGATGAGTACAATTGTGTGGTATAGCTTGAGCATTCTTTGGCATTGCCTTTCTTTGGGATTGGAATGAAAACTGACCTTTTCCAGTCCTGTGGTCACTGCTGAGTTTTCCAAACCTGCTGGCATGTTGAGTGCAGCACTTTCATAGCATCATCTTTCAGGATTTGAAATAGCTCAACTGGAATTCTATCACCTCCACTAACTTTGTTCGTAGTGATGCTTCCTAAGGTCCACTTGACTTCACATTCCAGGATTCTGGCTCTAAGTGAGTGATCACACCACTGTGATTATCTGGGTCATGAAGATCTTTTTTGTATAGTTCTTCTGTGTATTCTTGCCACCTCTTCTTAACATCTTCTGCTTCTGTTAGGCCCATATCATTTCTGTCCTTTATTGAGCTCATCTTTGCATGAAATGTTCCTTTGGTATCTCTAATTTTCTTGGAGAGATCTCTAGTCTTTCTCATTCTATTATTTTCCTCTATTTCTTTGCATTGATCACTGAGGAAGGCTTTCTTATCTCTCCTTGCTATTTTTTGGAACTCTGCATTCAAATGGGAATATCTTTCCTTTTCTCCTTTGCTTTTCGCTTCTCTTCTTTTCAAAGCTACAAAGAAGGAAATCAACATGGCTGAGCCTCAAAGACATGCTAATCGAAGTAAGCCAGTCACAAAGGAAGAAATAGTGTATGATTCCACTCAAGTATTTAAAGTATTTAAAGTCATTTTTTAAAGTATTTAAAGTATTTAAAGTGTCAAGTATTTAAAGTAGCCAAAATCATAAAAGCAGAAAGTAAAAATATGGGTTCCCAGAACCGGGTGAAGACAACATAGAATATTAGTGGTTAGTAAGTATTTCAGTGTTGCAAGATTAGAAAGTCTAGAGATTTGTTGTAAACAACACGAATATACTTAATACCACTGAGCTGTACCTTTAAAAATTGGTTAAGACAATAAATTTAACATCATATGCTTTTAACACTATAAAAAATGTATTTTCCCATTAAAAAAGTGTGTGTAGGCTTCTGCTGAGAGAAGTAACATGTCCTCCTGGATAAGTTCAAACTGTCATTGTGGCTGACGGATAGAGGCATGTTACTACATAGGTTCATTTTTTTCCCCTGGAACTTCTCTTCACTTTTGTCATCCCCTGATATATGAAATTTTATACAGATGTAGAACTTCCTGGTGAGCATTTCCTCCTGCATTCCTCTCCCCTACCCTTTACTAATTTTAAAGTTCTGTTCTTTTTATAAATATGTATATAACTATATATAAGTAAATCTTATAGATATGTATATATACATATACACACACGTGTGTGTATGTGTGTGTGTGTGTGTGTGTGTGTGTGTGTGTGTGTGTGTGTACAGCCATGGGTGAATTTTTTAATTTATTGAGTTTGTTGCCTCTTTTCAAGAGTGGTGAAGTAAATAAATTATCTGGTGATTCTTGCCTGCCTGCTTTCTTTTACATATGGAAGCTCCCTTTCCTTGTCTTTGAAAATTTAGTCTTTGTGAAACCTTTCTGGGATGGAGAGGCAGCAGGGTGACTCAGTGGTGAAGAATCAACCTGCAATGCAGGAGACCCAGGGTTGATCCCTGGGTCAAAAAGATCTCCCAGAGAAAGAAATGGCAACCTGTTCCAGCACTGAATGGACAGAGAAGCGTGGCAGACTACAGTCCACAGGGTCGCAAAAGAGTCAGACATGTTGTAGTGACTAAAACAAGTTAATGGTTAATCTGCATGTGGGCCCTTCAACTCCTCCATGGTGTCACCAGCCACTAGGGACACTGTTCTGCTCCATATGCCCAGGCCGCCACCCACACTCACTTCTGCTGCCCAGGGTAGATGCCTCTGCAGTTTGCTGCTTGGACTAAGTTGGGGTGGGAGGGTAATTTGACAATCAGGTGAAATGTTAAATGAGGAAAGAGGCATTTTTTCTCTGACAGTGAGTGGAACACACTATACAGATGCCTTCTGCTTGCCTCTGGGACCTGTCTTGATCCCATGATCACTGGCTTTTGCCTTTGAAGCATCCCTGGAGTCATGTCCATGTTTTTCCAGCTTTCTTCTCCTGCACTTGTATTAGACTGTGATTTCTTTCTTTAGCCTAATTCTTTTTCCTTCTTAGTTTTTTGAAAACTGTTTTTGATTTACAGAATGTATTTTTTCTTGTTTTCTAGCACATCCACAAGTTGCTTTTAATATCTTTTACATTTTTATTAAAACTGGTGGGGGGAGGACATGGCTTCAGCCTTATTATTCGCAGTGTGCTGTATTGAACTGGAAGTCAAGTTCTACCTTTTCTTCTCTAATAAATAGAAAAAGATGTTATGAGGCTTTTAATTAAACTCAGATGCCTGACACATTATGAGATATACTCCAAAAATGGTTTTTGGTTGTTGAATAAATTGTTGCTCCCTGGTTATAAATATGGTATAGAGTTTACATGGAGTGAAACCACTCAGTTTTTAGATTTTTAGCTTTTATATGGAGATAATTACAATAAAATAGTTATGAAGACTAATTAAAATAATATACATAAAATTTTTGGCATGTAATAAGCATTGATAAATGTCTGATTTTATTATCACTGTGAGCTATTATCACTGTGAGCTATCATCACTCAGCTTTTGGCTGTAAATTCATTCAGTTAAAAATAGAACTCTGATCATTTAGCCAAACACATGTTTTGTCAGGCACTATTTGAGCTGCTGCGGAATCAGTAATGAGCACACTGACAAAATGATTTATTGATTATTAAAGAAATACTGAGGCAAATTTTTATCTAAGTCCTGATCATCAAAGTTCTAATTGGTACAATTAAAGAGGAGGGGCTTTCAGAAAGTAACAGGACTTTATCTCATTAAAGCAGATACAAGTGTGACCAGAAGTAAAGCTTGTCTTATGCAAGAGCAGCTTTCTAAAAGTTCTGAAAAAGGTTTTGCAATGTCCATATTTTCAATCTTAAAAAGAAGATTAACTCAAAACAAAAGAGAGATTCAATAAAATCAAAATTTGTAAATTGGTTTTACAAAGAAGAAAAGAGTAACAGATGCAAACACAAGGGCTACAATAGGATTCTTCATAAACTAGGATTTTAGAAGGATATGAAATGAGTTACTGTAGATAGATTTATAAATGTGCTTTCTTTTATTCCAACTATAACCTGAACTGTGAGCATTTTAGCCATGTTCCTAATGTGGGGCTGAAGTTCAGAGAAAGAATGGTAGGTGATTTTCTTAGAACATAAATAATTAAGTAATAAAAAACCAATTTCTTCAATGAAAAATATTAAAAGACTGATGCCACGAGGATAGAGAATTCAAGATTGAGAGATTTCAGAACAGAGATACAAATATTCCCAATTGTCAAAAGCATTTTAAAATATCACAGGCAGAAAGACACAACGAGCCCTGAGATAAAAGGTAAAGTTGGTATTTATCTGCAATAGTGGCAGGTCAGTCCTT